CCCAAAGCTGCCGAAAATTTCCCACCTTTTTAGGACAAAATTAGCCAGCATACACTATATCTCCATTTCTTACAAAAGACACTGGTTGCAACGACATATTGTGGTGTTATCTTCCTGAATAACAGGAACGTGTAACATCGAGTATACATAATAAGAAATTTGATTGAGATTTTTCGTCGAGTGCCTTTGGTCGTTGTTGGGCTGTTTCTTGAAATATCTCACCAAAAATTCAGTCTCTGTTTTAGACCTCTTATGTCCACTCCCTGAGCCGTAATAGCCGCAAATGCGATAGTCAACTCCTATTACGGAAAGATAACATCGTAAAGATCACGGAGGCCATCAGAAAGGATGTAAATACAATCATGTGTGACGTCAAGCGGTAATCTTTTAGAATGTTATACCATTAATAAATTGATAAGTTTTCATCGCTGTGTAAATTTGCCATTGTCTAATATTCTCGGAAGGAAACGAATAATTCAAATAAAACACTTTCTATCAAAATTAAGCTAATCGAAAACATCACGTATTTTGCTGTTCAGCGAAAATATTCGTTTGAAATGGAAAAAAAGATGTGTGGGGCTTTCCGGTGAAATAAAATTTCTTGGAATCATAGGATCATAATTTTTCAATTTTTAATATAAAAAAAACTTTATTCCTAATGATTTCAGAAGAGTCAGTCTGTGTGTCTTCCTAATTCTGCTAATTTGAAATAAAATTAATGACGAAATTTTGTTTTCTCCGCAGGATAACACTTAAAACACCAAATTTCGCTGACATCTGTAGACATTCGTAAAAGTATATCTGCATAATCAGATCTAGATTGACATGAAAATGATCACAAACGGAATTATTTACTTCTCAAATATACATCAATTTATTTAAGCTGACATTTAAACCTATATTTATCATATGAAAGTTTTCTGTGTTCAAATAGAATAGAGGACTATTTTTTTAAAAAAATCTGATAACTCCGATAATCACTTTACTACATTTTTTCCTTAAAGCGACGCAAAAAGACAACTGAACAGGAGGGCAGAATGATAAATCATTTATGCTAATTTGCCTCTTAGCTTAAAAAGTGTAAAACTTTTCCCTTACTTCAATTTAACCAGCCTGACGTACGTATGTTCGGCACCAGATACATGGAGCTCTCACATAGAAGAAATGTTTAATCCTAATACAAAATTATTTCACCGGCTGGGAGTGACGTTTTTTCATTGCAGCCGAAGGAGGTCTTAATAAGGTTGTGCAAAGATGTGAAAATGTCACAAAATTTTACAAAGAACTCAGAACGATACAAAATCCTTTTTCTTTTTTGAGTGGTTGCCAAAGATTCATCATGTCCAGACCCTAATGTGCATGTCGTTTTTTACCTTGCACGCAATTGGTTATAAAATGACCATCATAACTCAAAAGACGCAACTTGTAGCTAAAGAGTTCTGTTATTTGCGTTAAAATAGTAATCAGAAAATTATAGAGAAAACCATTTGTCAGCCGACAGATTTACTAAAGACCTATTGCTTAATTCTTTCAAGTGGAGTTCGAGGTTCTACTGAAAATATTCCTAATAAGAATGTGCAGTGTAATGCTTTGGCCAAACGTTAGTTTACTAAAGTGGCCGCCGTAAAGAGTTTCTAAAACTGACCGGTTTAGAGCGTTAGCCTTTCGGGCTAATTCTCGAAAAGTCAGCTTAAGAAACTTTTTACGGTTGCCAATTATCAACTCAATTGATTAAAACCAAATTATCTTGTAAAAAAAGACCACTCGGACACAGCAATAACTAATATTTAGAAACTTACCCCATTTCATCATTTATTGAAAGCGTGATCAGGTGATGGATTTCAACTGGCCTACATGTCAAATTTGAATGATTTGGTTTTCGTTTTGCATTTGCACTGAATTACGTTCTTACGTTGTTTAAAGGAAATTTAACGCAAGTTGATTTTGAAAACGTGAGGTCACCCTATGTCTTGCAATTTGGTTTAAGCAGGATTCTGCCGCTGATAGTTAAAACAAATATGTCAATAGACTGAAAAATATATATATATAAGTCATAGCCAGATAATTTGTCGTTCAAAAAATATTAAAGGAAATGACGCTAAAAGCAATCAGAGAAGACCAATTTTTTGGATTGTTAATTGTACCTTTTTGCACCAGTTGGCGGTATAGGAGTTAAGAAGCTAAGCATTTTATCTCCTTCATCGGCTGAACTGAAAGGTAATTTAGCTCATGTTTTCTATTATGTACCAATTACCCTTATCTAAACAGGAGAAGTATGTTCCTGAAATCAAACAATTTTTTTCCAGCATTCTAGAAGAAACAAAAATGTATAACTAACAGCGTTTTCATTTTCCAAAGAGGGACATTGCGTTTTAAACATCATTTCTGAAAATGCCCATAATCAGGTTCCAAATGCAGCCATTTTTGAAAATAACTTAGTAACTATACCACGCAAACTAAACTGCATTACTATTAAAGGGATTACTTAGTATCAATTAAGGAATAAAATTTAAGTTCCAAAAATTATGGTTATAGGTCATTAGTCGTTGAGGCGGTATCCTCCAAGTGTTCCGATTATTCAATTAGCATGGCTTAAAGCATTTAATGCGAAACATCAAAATTCTTTCGGGACCCTTTGGGGTAAAAAGCCAAAAATAAAACGTCATATAATATAATACAACATCAACAACGAGTTAATTTGACCGTGGCCAACATTTTCCTTCCTGTAACAGTATTTCTTAGTAGTTTTCGTGTTGCCCTTCGCGAGGATCTCCTCGTCATCCGCACGTCCAAACGCTTGAATCTGTTGTTTGTCTTGTTAGGGCCAGTTGACGGGGTTCAGGAACACCGGAATCTACGACGAAGCCCTCAAAATATCTTGTACATTATGTTCAGTTTTCATGGACAAAGACGGCCGGAGCGTGGTCAGACTTCTCGACCTGTTGTTGCAGGGTAATGCTTGGCTAATAGTCTTTGATAATTAGGAAATAAACATGAGAAATCTAAATTTAAAAAAGTGATCTTAGCTAAGAGGGTTGTGGTAATACGAAATATTTGTTGTTGGAATGACTGCCACATGGCAGCAATTTGACAACAAACTTAAGAGAGAGCGAGGCACAGAGAGCGTGCTGACGACACTATTGTTCGCTATGCAAATAAAGTTTGTTTTGAAAATTCATGTAGAAGTGGTCAGTGATGAATATTTATCGAGCCGCAAAGAAGTTGTTTTAGTATAAACTAAGACAGTAAGATAACATAGCACAAAAAGATGATATTAACTCATTTTTTCCTGCAAGAATTACAATATGCAAATCCCGCGCGCGTTGTTCGGGAGTGAATAGTGTGAGGATATTACGAGTTTTAGCAGCGTTTCTTCAACGCTATCCGTTGTTTTACTAAACAATAGTCCATGATATCATGACATGAGACATTTCTAACTCAGCTTGCAAAATGTTAAAACCACTGCACGGGCGAGGGGCTTCGAAATTAGGCAGACTTTCAACTCGACAGAATAAATGCAATATCCGCTGCATTTATTGCACTCATCATGGCAACTTTTGTTTATTGATTGATTGCCCTCGACCAGTTAGATTTCTCAATGAAATCATTGGTGTGTGACACTAAGTTGCTATAGATTGTGCTAATAGAAATAGCATATATCCAAATGATGCTCAAAATCATGTCCTAAATTATGCTTTCGTATAAAAATTATGCTAGTTTGTCTTAAAGAATGCTTTTGAAAAAAAAAAAGTCCAAGTTACACATTTACTGTTAACTGCACCCACAGTGCCACTGTACACTGCCTCTCTGTATCGTGCCATGTTCAGTAAAATTGGTTGGCTCGACTGTTACTGTGCTTGAGCTGAGTTGAAGAGTTTGGAAATCTTTGTGTCCGAGACGATCGAGAGTATTAGAAAATTCAGAACAACTACATATCCATACCCAAAGATTATACCGTAATCTAAAATGTAGCAAAAAGCAGCGACATTAGAGGAAACCCAAACGGCAGCTAATTTATTACATATGTGCGCTTCAAAGTTATAATTTTTTTCATTTCTAAGCCCCAGCAATAGGGCGAGAAATCTGTCCACGCTAGCTTATGGCCCTTATTGTCATCAAAGACACTGAACAGAATGCAGGGCTTTTGATGAATTCAGTGTTTGTAAAACTAGGGAATCCTATAATTCGAGATAATAAGCACTGAGAGGTGGAATAGCAAGACGGAGTGGGGAACCAGCAACGGATCAGTAGTCGCCAGCAATCTAAAACGAAAAAGTCTTCGCCAGGGATGTTAATGGATTTTGCAAGAAATTGATTTCGTGATAATCCCCGGGTATTTAAAACTATACAATATTAGCGTTTGGTCACTGTTGTCAACATATTTTAAAATATTTCCATTCAAGTTTGTTATTGGCAAAAAACCGGAAACATTGACAAGAGCAAGATAAAACACTATAAAACTCTTTTCTGCCTTTGTTATGTTATTTTCCCCTTCATTCGACCTCTCCTTTATGCAAGGATACTCATTATAATTACTCCACTATGATCATAAGCAAAAGTGATTTACCTTCAATAAACAAATAACTTTAAAAGCTCTCCTTCTTTGAAGATAAATTTCTTGCCACATTTTCACATTGGTAAGAAAGAAAAATGAAATGGAAGTATTATTATCTTCTTCGTTTTCACACCGTGGTGCATGTGAATGCACTGAGTTATTGCATTCGCCATTACTGCCCTACAATGAAACAAAGTCTTTTCAAGACATCGTTAATGTTTTGACTCTCTGTCCCTTATTATGTTCACGTGGAAATAACGAATATTATTATTCAGCACGTGCACGTTGTTATTATGTTTATTAGTCGTTACTTTCCAATAACGCATACGTAGCTATATGAGTCCGCTATTATACAACAAATAAGATGATGACTCGAAGAAGATCTAACTCCATGGAGACCAAAGTGCTTGTCTAATTGTCTGCTTTACGGCTTTTCTCACTTCGCCTATCTTCCAGCAGGATTCAAGGTAGAGTTAAAATAAAGTAAGGTTGCTACTATTCCCCTGACTAGGACTATATGTGATGATAATGTTTTTCTATGAGCTGTCACACTTTCAACTATAATATATGGTGCATAACAAACAACTAGAGCTAACTGCACGAACAGTGCACTGTACACTACTTTTCTGTATCGCAAAAGGTTCAGCGAATGTGGTTGACTGGACTGTTGTTGTACTCTTGCCTTGTCATTACGGAGAGTGTAGAAAATCTTTGTGTACGCTGCCATTGAGATGACTAAACATAACGGTGCAATTATATATAAAAACCAAAAGCCTATACGTTTAATTAAAATGTGGCATATAGCAGCAACACCAGACGCAACCCAAACGGCAGCCACTATTATATAAGTGCGCTTCAAAGTTACAATTTGTTTATATCTCAGCCCCAATAACAGGGCAAGAAGTCTCTCAACGCTTATGGTCGTCATTGTCGTCAAAGATACTCCACACAGTGCATAGCTTGATAGGTAGCAGGCACTTCTTGCGTATCGACAAAGATTCCATTGTTTGTAAATTGAGGAAATCCGATACGTAACACTGAGAGGATGGGTAACAAGACCAACCAACAGATAGGTAGTCACCAGACTACGGTACAAGAGTTTCGACGGCGGATGAAGCGAAGATTCTTTGCGAAGGGCAACTAGGATTAGAGAATTCCCAAGAATTGCAGTGAGGGAGAGAAATATATTTAGCACTGCGAGATGAATTGATGGTTGTTGTGATCCACTTGTTAAAGTGGGAGAGCATACTAGTTATTCGAGTGTTTTCATCTGTATTCCATCTCCTGTTAAATTGTTTGCAGCTATCATTCTCATCTCGTCTCCTATTTCTCCTTTTTAAGGTTACCTGAGATTGCGACGAGAGATATGTCGTCTTGGCATTACCCGCAAAGATACGATCATTTACACCTTACTTTATTAGAAACGATATTATGAAGACTTCCTTTGCGATCACTAAATACGCAATGCAAGAAATAAGACCGACCATTAAGTTCATTTTATTTTTTTTTTCACTTCAGGGTGTGCCTCAGGCGGAAATTAGTAAAATGACGAAAGCATATGTAATCTATAAAATCACTTTCTCATAGCTCGACAAATACTCGCTTTCACCTATATAAGCTTTTATAACTAGGATAGGTGATAAGTATCATTTGTATGAGATTGAGGAGAATCAGAATCAGAAGCTAAATAGAAAAAGTCCGCACCAGAGATATAAATGGGTTTTGGAGAAAATTGAATTCGTGACAATCTCCGAGTGATTAAAACTATACAATATTGGCGTTTAGCCACAGATGCCAACATTTCCTCAAGTAATGGATTTCAACTTTGAATTAATAAAGCCTTCCAGCTCTTTACTTTCCATTTCGCTCCTGACTGAAGCTAGAAACGGAAACAGCAACATGAGAAAGATATATCATACTACCAAATCCTGTCGGATTTAGTTAAGTTGTTTATTCCTTTCATACGCCCTCTTCCCTTATTCCAAGACATTAATTGTAATTATCCCCCATGATCAGAAGCAAAAGCAATTTTACCGTCCGCAGAAAAATAACTTTAAAAGCTCTCATTCACTACTCTTTGAAGTTCAATTTCATCCCACGCCTTCATATTACTAAGAACGCAAAATAAGGAACATCGAACTAACTTCCTGTTTGTTTCTACATCATACATTCATACATAACTGCTTGTTCTATTCGCAATAAATGCCATTGCAGTAAACAAAGTTTTCTAAAGATGATTTTACTAATCAACTCAGTCTTTTAATTTCTTCAAGTCAAAATGTTATCGAGTTTTTATGTTCATGACTTTCTAATAATATAACCGACAAGCGTCTTCTTGTGGCAACCGTAACTTTAAAAGTCCGGTTTGATATAATGAATAGAATGATGACTCGAGGCAGATCTAACTCCATGGACAACAAAGTGCTTATCTGATTGTCTGCTTTACTGCTTGTCTCACCAAACAAACCTTCCAGCACTAAATAAATGGGTTTAACGTCGATTTAAAGCTATTCCTCCGATGACGACTTAAAGTGATGAAAATTTTTCTCTTTGAGCTGTTTAAATTTCAGGAATGTCACTTGGTGCATAAAAAGCACTTTAAACAAGCTGTAGCAATAGTGCACTGTGCACCGCCTCTCTGTATCGAGAAATGTTGAGGGTATCTTTTGTTTCTTATCATATATGTGGAAAATTACTTATTTGATATCTTGACTTAAAACAACAGGGCACATGAAGGGAATTAAAAGAAAAGCAGAAAATTTTTTAATAGCGTATTATCTTGCTCTTAGCAAGTCTCGTTTCTCTTTCTAGTTAGGCACGAAAAGGAAAGTGAAAGACTGGAAGACTTTTGAAATTAAAAATTGAAATAGTTTACGATATGTCGGCATCTGCGACTAAACGCCAATATTGTATAGTTTTAATCACTCGGAGATTGTCGCAAAATCAATTTTTCCAAAACCGATTAACACCTGTGGCATGGACTTTTCATTTTAAGCTTGCTAACTTCGATAATGATTCCTCTAAACTTCAAAAAAGAAAGCTTAATTACCTATCGCAGTGGTAAAAGTTTATCCGCGTATCAAAAGAGGGAGTATTAATCAAGAGATGTGAAATGGTGATATCACAATGTCTTATGCTTGCCTCATTTTGCCAATTCAGGGGCGCACGAAAAAGTTCAAGAGAAGAAATGATTTTTTTCTCCTCAAAGTCAGTGTTCTCGCGTAGTCTTTAGAATGATCTCCGCGGGAAGTCTTTATAAGATCGTTTTTAAAACATTAGGGTTTCAGTGGTCATAGCTGGGCGGGTGCTGCTAAGACGAATATTTCTCGTTGCAATCACGAATAATATTACTAAAAAATAATAATAAAATAAATAAAGATAAATAAGAATGATTAACACAACTTATTTAACAGTAGGTGAAATGCATATAAAAACATATCAGGAACTTGCATGTTCCATTTCTTTTGCAGGCGGATTACAACAGCAATCCATTCAGAATGTCCCCTCCATCCGCCGTCCAAACTCTCGTGCCGTTGTCTGGCTTCATCTGATCTGTCGGTTGGTCTCATTACCCAGCCTCTCTCTATGCTACTCATCGGATGTTGAGTATGACGGCTATAAGTGTTAACAGACTTCCCGCGCTGTTCTTAGGGCTGAGATACAAACAAGTTGTAATTACGGAGTCTACAAGGATTATTTTAGCTGCCGTTTGGGCTTTAACAGGTGTCTCTGCCTTATGCTATATTTCAGATTACCGGATAACCTTATGGAATGGATATATCTGCGTTACATCTTTTTTAGTGATCTCAATCGGCTCATACACAAAAATTTTTCTCACTCTCATTTATCGTCAGGCACAAGTACAAGATCATTTTCAGGCGATTCAGAAAGGCGGTATACAGCATTTTCATTCTGTCAATCGTCACTGGAGGGTAAGCAGTAACCTTACTTTACTTCAACTCAACTTTGAATCTGTTTCTTTAATGTTGGAGGATTAGTGAAGTGGGACAAGCAGTAAAAGAGACAATCAGACAAGCACTTTGCTGTCTTTGGAGTTACAATCCCCATTGAGTTATTCTCGCACTAACTCTTTCAAAGCTGACTTCCCACTTCACGGCTGTTAGCAAAGAACGTTCACCGGAATGTTGAACATATGAATCGAAACACTAACCTTGTCCTATGAGTGGTATTTCATTGGCAATGAACAGTTTTCAAATTGATTAGCTCATTAGTAAAGAGCACTTGGGCCCTTCGTACTAGCACTTTTTCGTCGGGCGAGAAACGAAACTTTGTCAAAAACAAAGTTAAACTCAAGTATTTAACAACTATTCAGAGAAGTGGAGGTGAATAGACAAACAATGGCGTCCATTTGGCGCGAAAATACCCACAGAGATCTTTCCGCTGACATTACTACTCCGAGATACGAACAGTTTCCGAGAGCGAACTGTGCAAACTGTGAGCTTCGAGAAACAGATGATAGACGAGTAAATTTTCGCGCCAAATGGAGGCTAGAGTACTATAAAGTACTTTTTACCATTTAAGAACTGATATGTTCGCCCTCTTTGGATGGTGGATTGCAACAGCAATCGATTCATCTCGAAATAATAAACATCTTCCTCTCCGTCACGGCAACTCTCGGGAATTCTCTTATCCTTGTTGCCCTTTGCAAAGAATCTTCCATTCATCTACCGTTCAAACCGTTTTACTGTTGTCTGACAACGACTGATCTTTTGGTTAGTCTCGTTAGCCAGGCTCTCTATGTTATTTATTGGATATCCTTAGTTTACAGAAACTGGAATCTTTGTCGATAGACAAACGACGCAGGCTACTAAACCAGCTATGCATTTTGTTCGGTGTTTCTGATGACAATGACGGCCATTAGCGTAGACAGACTTTTCGCGCTGTTGCTAGGGCTGAGGTACAAACAAATCGTAACTCTGAAGCGCACTAATATTTCTTTTGCTGGCGTTCGGGATTTATCAGGAGTCCCTGCCTTATGCTATATTTCAGATTACCTTTTAACTCTTTGGTTTGGATATATAGGTGTTAGATTTTCTGCTCATTCCGTCATCATAGCGCCCTAGCACATACAAGATCTGATAGATCTACGGTCGAGTCATCCAAACCTACTGGAAATTTCGCGATACAGAAAGGCGGTGTACCGTGCACTGTGGGTGCAGTTAGCATTAGCTGTTTGTTATCTACCATTTAATATATTGATTGTGGTGGCCTGGAAGACATTTTCGTCGCATATAGTCGTCACCAGAGAAATAGCAATCCCTTACTTTACTTTTCTTCAACTTGACGTTAAATCCGTTCCTTTACCGCTGGAAGATTTTTGAAGTGAGACAAGCAGCAAAGCAGAAAATCAGACAAGCACTTCGCTGTCCATGAAGTTAACTCTTCCTCGAGCAAACATTTTATTGATTGTTTCAAGGCTGACTTAAAAATTTACGGTTGCATTAAGACAACGTTTGTCGGTTTCGTTACGTGAAAGTTAATGACTGTTATATCGGTGTACGAGCTTTTGTTAGAAGATTTCATTTCCAGTTGAACAAAAAGAATAGACAGAAAGTGTAACCATAATTTTCATGGGAAAGCACTTATTATGAATATAACAACTCATAATATATGCATGCACGTATGGTGTAGAAACAAATTGGACGTTGTTCGATATCACTTCGTTATTTTGTTTCCTACGTAATATGAAAGTGTCAATTAGAAAAAAGTTGCAAATCCAAGAGCAGTAAAGACGAGCTTTTGATGTTTTTTTTTTTTAATGGACGAAAAAAGTGTGTCAATTTCTTTTGATCATGCTCAAATGAAGCGCTTGACGTTCACGCCTTTTTGAAAGGCAGTTATAATGTCAATTATACACTTAAATTAAATTTGTTTAAATATTCGAAAAATGCCGATATTGCGTACGAAAGTGACAAGGACGCATCCAAACCAGTCGCTAGACACTTTAAACTCTGTAATCACTCTAAGCAGCATATGACAGCTTGCAGCCTTTCCCTACATCTAGGCAGTGCGGAAAGCCGCAAAACTCTAGAACAAAATTTTACCTTTTAACTCAGCACTCCTAATCCCCACGGTATCAACGAGCGCTTTTCATTACGAATATAATGTAACACATTATTATTTCCTTTGGTTGCAAATACTTTTTTTGCTTAATTACAGATTTTATCACTGATTGCAAAAGGATAAAACTAAGAGATGTTTGCGTCTGACTCGCAATGAAAAGTCATTCCTAAATTAAATTCATTACTCAAATAAGTAGTTGTGTCGCACACTAATGTTTACTAACACACTTCCGTCCATATGCTGTGACGTTCATGGATTGACAGTAGGAATGAAGTACCAAAATAATTGTTTCCATTTATTGAACGTTTTAAATGCATGGCACAACCAAGATCTCCGCCAAAAACAAATCGTAGTTTTTGTTACGCGAGGACCTTCCAAGCGAGCGTCTTTAAAAGGTATTTGAAATTCTCTATCCAAATGCTGATTCTCCTTTTCAACTGAAAAAATGAGGATCAGCAAGTCCAATAGGCTTGCTTTGTTTCAAATCGAAAGGGAAAATTAGATAACGAATGCCTTGGTGTTAGGCAAAAAGCGACTGAATTAATTAATAACGTGACAAAAACAGAAAATGTTTTGATGGTGCAAAAGCTTGCAAAATTCTGCTCCTCCCACTGTTTTCATTTCTAGCTGAGTACGTAAAAACCTGTAAAGCTTTGTTAACGACAAAGTTGAACATGAATATCTTGGTATTGTTACGGGAAAATTTAGTGATTTTTCTGTGTGATTGTTTGGAGCATACTTTTTACTTTTCAATATTTTAGCCGTTCTCAATTCATTCGAGTTTCTTTTAATGTAATGTTTTAAAAAAGATAAAAGCCAACAGTAAGTTCTTTCAACTTCTAACTTCTTCATATCGCTTTGTTCTTACTGCCTTTATGCGCCTGAACATCAATCCTTCTGTGATCTTATTCTAAGTGGACATTGTTAAGTCAACAGTCCTCGTAGCGACCTTTTCTGACAACTTCTCGAGGAAGTTGCTGTTGAATCTATGTAAATTAGTTCTTTTCCTAAAATTGATTTTTCTCGTTGCCACTTGTTCAAACTTAACACCAACATCGGATAAATAATCATTAATTATAATTGACTTCTCACTTTTACTTGTTAAGATATATATTTTTAAATTAAGTATGCAAGAAAGCATGTCGGTTGTCGACATGAACTAAAAGTAAAGTTACTGTAGAAATAAACGCTGTCTAATTCTTGACGTCCGTAGCAAGTTTACTTGAAGCAGGTCTCTGCGCACCAGGAAACCGTGACGAGTTTCCGTTCCTGCTGCAAGTGGTTTCTCCCAAGCTATTTTCCCTCATTATTGTCGCGTTCCCCGCAGAAATGTTGGCATCTGTGACCAAACATTAATTTTGAATACTTAAATGTACTTGGGGATTGCCACGAGTAACAATTATTTTCTAAACCGTTTGAAATCTCTAGCGAGTACTTTGTTTTTCTAGATTGCTGAAGTTGACAATGATTCTTCTCAACTTCATAGAAGTTATATTAAAGCTTAATTACCAATCCTTAAAATGGAGGTTAATCCAAGTTACATGGGAGCAGTTGTCGTGCTATGAAAAAATGCCTATTTGTTTTTTTTATAATCATTTCTGGGCGGTTGCTGTTACGCTAAATTATCTCTCGTTGCAATCACAGGTAACCCTAAAGAAAAAAAGGAGCACAGAAGTATGATGGCAAGAAATAATTTAACAGAAGGTGGAGTACAAATGGAAACATATCAAGAACTGTTATGTTCCCCCTCTTTAGCCGGCGGATTACAACAGCAATCAATATATCTCGCATTGGTAAATGTAATCCTTTCTCTCACTGCAATTCTTGGTAACTTTCTAATCCTTGTTGCCCTTCGTAAACAATCTTCCCTCCATCCGCCATCCAAACTTTTGTATCGCTGTCTGGCAACAACTGATCTGTTGGTTGGTCTTGTTATTCAGCCTCTCTATACTATTTATTGGATATCCATAGCTAACGAACACTGGAATCTTTGTCGATACACAAGGGACGCCGCCTACATGACCGGCAATGCATTATGTGGTGTATCTTTGGGGACAATGACGGCCATAACCGTTGACAGACTTCTCGCCTTGTTGTTGGGGCTGAGATACAAACAAACTGTCACTTTGAAGCGCACAAATATTATTTTAGCTGCCATATGGGTTTTATCTGGTGTCGCTGCTTTATGCTACATTTTAGATTACCGTATTAATTTATGGTATGGATATATCGGTGTTCCATCTTGTTTATTGATATCAATGGTCTCGTACACAAAGATATTTCGCACCCTCATTTATCATCAGGCACAAGTACAAGTTAATGTTAAATTGCAATCGAGCCAACCAAATTCACTGAACATTTCGCAATACAGAAAAGCGGTGTACAATGCACTGTGGGTGCAGTTTGCATTAGTTCTTTGTTATATACCATTTACCGTAGTTGAAATCGTGGTTGTGGAGGCTAATAAAAGAACATTTTCATCACATTTACTCGTCACCAGAGGAATAGCAGCAACCTTACTTTTCTTCAACTCCACGTTAAATCCATTCCTTTACTGCTGGAAGATTAGTGAAATGAGACGAGCAGTGAAGCAGACAATCAGACAAGCACTTTGCTGTCCATGGAATTAGATCTGCCCCGATTGAGGAACTATTTAATTTGTTATTTTAAAGCTAAGCTGACTTCAAGGTTTCTGCGAAACGCTTGTCGGTCACTTTATGAGATGGTAATGAATATGAAAGTTAACCATTTTGTTGCTCGAGCTTTGGTTAAAATTCTTTATTTCCAATTGAGTCAATAAAGCGGCAGAGAGTCAAAACAAACAGCAACCACATCTTGAGGAGACTTTGTTGCATGCGACAGTGCTTATTTTGATTATAGACTCGTGATATAACCACGTACAGTGTAGTAACAAACAGGAATTTCGTTCGATATTACTTCCTTGGTTTGCTTTCTTAGTAATATGAAAGTATTGGATGAAAGTGAACTTCCAAGAATATCAAAGAAATGCCATTGAAGTTTTTTGTTTATAGACGGTAAAACAATTTCAACATTTTTTAATGTTACTCAAGTAAAGCACTTGACGTTTTTGCACTTTTGCCATACGAGCCTGTCACAAGTGAGAAGATGCTTTTGTCTACAATACAAATTGATAGAGAGTACTTGAAAGAAAATTGACCATCACTGGTTCTTACTAAGTTCTCTCAGAGAACGAACAACGGAATCTTTGTTGATACACAAGGGACGCCTCCTTCTTGACGGGCTGTGCATTATGTGGAGTATCTCTAGGGACAATGACGGTCATGACCGTTGACAGACTTCTCGCCCTGTTGTTGGGGTTGAGATAAAAACAAACTGTCCCTTTGAGGCGCACAAATATTATTTTAGCTTTCGTTTGGGTTTTATCTGGTGTTGCTGCTTTATGCTACATTTTAGATTACCGTATAGCCTTATGGTATGGATATAACTGTGATCCATCTTATTTGGTGGCCTCAATCTTCTCCCACACAAAGATATTTTGCACCCTTGTTCATCATCAGGCACAAGTACAAGTTCATTTGCAACTACAGTCGAGTAAACCAAATCACTGAACATTTCGCGACACAGAAAAGCGGTGTATAGTGCACTGTGGGTGCAGTTAGCATTAGTTGTGTGTTATATACCATTTATCGTAGTTGAAATCGTGATTGTAGAGGCTGATAGAAAAACATTTTTATAACATTTACTCGTCACCAGAGGAATGGCAGCAACTTTACTTTACTCCAACTCGAGGTTAAACCTGTTTCTTTATTGTTGGAAGATTAATGAAGTGAGACAAGCACTTTGCTGCCCATGGAATTAGATCTTCCTCGATGAAGGCATTATTTTATTTGCTGCTTCAAAGTTAAAGAAACAAAGTTTGGCGGTCACTTTATGAGATAGGAATGAATATGATAGTTAACCACTTTGTTGCTCGAGCTTTTTTTAAATTCTCTATTTCCAATAGAGTAAATAAAACGGGAAAGAGTCAAAAAAAACAGAAATTATATCTTTAAGAAACATTTTTGCATACCACAGTGCTTAATATGAATATAACGACTCGTGATATAAGCACGTACGGTGTAGAAACAAACAGGACATTAGTTCGATATTGTTTTCTTGGTTTGCTTTCTTAGTAATATGAAAGTATTGAATGAAAGTGAACTTCAAAGGAATATTAAAGAAGAGCCATCCAAGCGTTATTTGTTTAATGTTACTCAAATCCAGCAGTTGACGTTTTTGCCCTTTGGCCATACGAGCCGGTCACATGTGAGAAAAACATTTAATTTAGCTGCGCATTAATGTTTAATAAGAGACTGCAGTCAATATTCCGTGACATTTGAGGAAAAGAGAAAGAAAGAAATGCCATAGAATTAGTAAATCCCAGGTACCGTTTTCCGTCTTTTTAGGGATATAAATGAAGAAGAAGAAATTTTTCAAGAGCAGTGAAGAAATTTTCCTGCTTAGACTTTAATATTGGAATGTATGACTGTCCTTGTCAAAAAAGAGATCCTTAATTGCACAAGTGCCTCGCAACAAAAATAACTTGATTTGTTATTATTAACCAGACATCTAGAAGAAACTGATATCAGAGGGTCCAATAGGCCAACAATTGCTTCTGATAAAAACGAAAAATATTAATGATGAAGAGGGCGCATGAAGGAAATAAAAAAAAAAACACAAAAGGGCTTGGTGGCGTAGTATCTTCCTTCTAGCACATTCTCGTTCATAGTTTATTAAGTAACTATTCATCAAAGTGGAGGTGAATAAATAAACTATGACCTTCATTTAGCGCGAAAATAACCACGGATATTTGTCTGTAGACACTATCTGTTCCGAGGAGCGATCATTTTTCCGAGAGCGACGCTCAAGGAAAACTGTGAGCCTCGAGAAACAGATATTATACGAGAATATGTAATTTCGCACCAAATGAAGGCTATTGTGTTTATTTCCTTCGAACAATTTTTATTTTTTTTAATGCGCAGGATTGCTGCGTGTTCTCTGGCACAACTTTATTCAACAAATAAACATGTCCCTTCCTCTGCGACAGTAGCTAAACGCTCTTTTATCTTGAATTCAATGCTAAACGAACGCTTTTATTCATGAGGACTAAGGGCTTCAAAATATATATCGAATATCGCTTGGGATAAGTATGTATATATATTACCATAACATATTTTGGCATCTGTAAATTTTCATAGATTTATCTATTTGAATTGCCACGAGTTTGTTTTTTTCGAAAGCCGATTAAGATCTTTGGCGAGCACTTTTTAATTTTAACTTGCTGAAATTAATGTTACTCCTCGTTTTACTTTCCTAGAAACATGAAAGTGGAGGATAAAATTGAACTTCAAAGTGTAGCGAAGGAGAGCTGTTCAAGTTATTTGTTTATGGACGGTAAATTATTTTATATTTTTCAATCATACACAAATAAAACGCTTGACGTTAACACCCTATCGTCATACGAGCCGATGCTTTATCACCTGTGAGCAATTTTTAGGAGAAAGCATGAAATAAAATTGACTATTATCGGATCTTAACCGTTGACAGACTTCTCGCCTTGTTGTTGGGGCTGAGATACAAACAAACTATCACTTTGAAGCGCACAAATATTATTTTAGCTGCCAGTTGGGTTTTATCTGATGTTGCTGCATTATGCTACATTTTAGATTACCGTATAACCCTATGATGTGGGTATATCTGTAATTCATCTTGTTTACTGATCTCAATGGTCTCGTTCACAAAGATATTTGGCACCCTCATTCATCATCAGGCACAAGTACAAGTTCATGTTCAATTACAGTCGAGTCAACCAAATTCACTGAACATTTCGCGGTACAGTTAGCATTAGTTGTTTGTTATGTACCGCATATGATAGTTGTAATCGTGTTTGCGAAAGCTAATAAGAAAACATGTTCATCACATTTACGCCTCATCAGAGAAATAGCAGCAACTTTAGTTTACTTCAACTCGACGTTAAACCCGTTTCTTTACTGCTCGAAGATTAATGAAGTGAGACAAGCAGTGAAGCTGACAATCAGACAAAAACTTTGTTGTCCATGGAGTTAGATCTGCCTCGATTGAGGCATTATTTTATTTGTTATTTTAGAGCCACGCTGACTCTATGGTGTATGGTTTCCACAAGACATCAGTCACTCTCTAAGATAGTAGAGCTTTTTGTTAAAATCTTTATTTCAAATTGAGTCAATAAAACGGGAAAGAGTCAAAACAAACAGCAACCATATCTTTAGGAAACTTTGTTGAGTGCGATGGAGCGTATTATAATTATAGCGACTCCTGATATAACCATGCACGGTGCAGAAAATGCAAAAGTCTCTAGATGTTTGGAGAAAGAAGTTAATAATTTTGATCTCACAGTCAATCAATCCTGCGGGTAAAGGCCATCTTAAAAGCTCTCTAAGAGGAGAAACTTGAGATATTGAGCATAAAACAAGCTCTATATAGTTAGCAAGGTATAAGGTATATGGAGGAAAAACATGGCGATGATATTGCATCCACGAAAGTCAATTTTATGCATATTGCGAAAATTTTCGAATTAGTCTCGAAGAGTCTTTATCTTTGTGTAAAGAACTAATATTGGGTAACTTCTTAAATAAGGTTAGATAACTCAATTGCTTAAAAACCATGGAAGGCGAAGGATTCAGAAGCATTCTGATTATGGAAAAATTGAATGGACAGGTGTGCACGTCATTCGATAAGTTTTAAAACACTTACGTGATGATACCCTCCCCAGTAGCGCTTCCTGCTTTGATGTTTTGGTTTATAGGAAAAATTTCTACTAACAGAAAATATGCGCTAAAAAGAGAACAGATTCACCGGACATTTTCGAGAAATATCTTAATAACCGAGTATGAACCGTTACAGCAAGATCAGGTCCGTTATGAAATATCACAAGGATTCTGTTTCGTGCAGGTGACAAGAGAAAGTTTTTAATTCATTAAAATTTTGATTACGATATACTGGTCATGATGTCATATGATTATCGTTTCACGAAAAAGGAAGACGCTTCAGTTCAACAGAAAGTAGAAAAAGACCAATTTCGATTAAGTTACAGACCCTATAAATTAATTCAATAAAGTAATAACTTTTAATTTTCTAACATGTTTTTACTTAAAAGAAAAGCGATCTTTTTCGTTCACTTAAACATGACTATGAAATATTGAACTGATTTCATTCGCACTTTTCATTCACCCTTTAACAGGCAATTTTATTTCACGCCATTCTCCATGTTCAACATAAATATATTACGTTGACTGTCAATCACGCGGGAAAAATCAACCTACGCTCTTGGTCCCTAATATTTTGATCAAAATTTTTTTTACTTTTTTACGAATTTGTCGATTTTTCCAAAAACAAATGAATGGGTTTGAGCACGAATTTAAAAACGCCAATGTTTCTGCCCAGCTGTAAAAATTGTATGTTTCTAACTTCAACCCCAGTATCTGATGATAAAGTGTCACAAGAAGAACAAGTAAACTCTAGCGACGAGAGAGATTTCCTTCGATAATTTGGCTTCTCTTTGTCTTTTTAGATTAATACTAAGAAGTCTGAAGTTATGCTTAAAGTTGTCTGCGATATCGTCGCACAGTGAATGGTAATCCAATCTGAGTTGTTGACGAAAAAAAGAGACAAATCCTGCATAGAATGAGTTGAGTACCTCTTACTTCTTGATTAATTTTAACCCATTGCAGAGCACTTAGTAAAATGTTCACCGTCCATATCCCGATGACGTATTCCAAGATACGCTTTCGAGAGAAAAATGTAGTGTATATGCTAGGGAATCGAACTGCCACAAATCGCTCAAAGCTGACTGCGGTTAGTGTCACACAAGACACTCCAAGACAAATGTAAAAAGCCACAATATAGAGAACCATTCCAAGAGCCTGTAGCTGATATATCCTGGTTGGGTTGTTAAGCCGACTAAAACATCAGACAGCGCTAAAGAGGCAATTAATAGATTGCAAGGAGATTAAAGACGAGAAGTTAATGATTGCCACAAGGATCAGTACATTCGCGATAATGGCATTTGGAGCAACTGGGATATTGATGACAGTCGTTATGAGATTCGTCGTAAAACGCTCTGAAGCTGTTTGAAAAACTGGATCCGGAAGATTAAAACAGTGCGAATTTCTCACAATTGTGTTCAGATTCATTTAGTACAATATGTAAGCTGCGGATACCTCACAATTTTTTTCCTAAGATATCTCAATGGGTTTCAACTTCAACGTGCAATTTCTAGTTATCAGCCTCAAAGTTGATTTTAACTATCTACCCGTTTCATAAAGCGGAAAATAGGTAATCTAATATCGCATTATCATAATGGTACGTGAGTGCAATACTAAAATTATGTCTTCGCCATGCCGTAAGGACCTTAAATGTCACTCAAAAAGTACATATTTTGAAACTGAAATTCAAGGTTCATAGCATCAAGTCTGTTTATATTCTCATGTCAGGAAGCAAATTGTAATTTGAGTTTTCTTAACTATTTTCCTTCTTAATCTAATGATCAATGTCTCGGCCGTTGACACCAACAATCTACATAATGTGTTCGGACAATTCCATTAACTTTCCTCAATTCTCTTGCTGTGGTTAAGTTTTGTGTAGGTAAATGTCTTGCTGAGCACGGTGCGATATTTGAAAAAAAAAACGCCCCATCGAAACTTAACAGGAAAAACTCAAGCAGCTGTCTTGAGGGCATGTTTCAACAATTAATGCATACGTGGTAAGGCTTCCACTGAGATTAGAGATAAAGTAAAACTGAGCCCGGCAGGTGTGATTTATCGATTTGGTATGGCTGCCATCATATCCAGGCAGCAAATCCACAAAGCTTGATGGTAATTACTTTGTGCAAGTAGTTACTTTGTGCAAGTAATTACTTTGTGCAAGTAATTACTTTGTGCAAGTGATTACTTTGTACAAGTAAATATTGAACAAAGTTAAAGAGAATGAAAAAAAGAAATATCGTAACTTATACACCGATGCAGATTTTAGCTTCTGAAGAAAATGTTAAACAGCGTTATCCGTGAGTGGCAAATGAAGATTCTGACAGCAATGCTCGGCGAGTTATGAAGAGTTGACATTTTGCGCATTTGCCCTTCGCAACAACAAAGAGAGAAAAAAAATGGAGAAAAGTTCTTATTTTCTAAATAAAATATAACGCCGCTTAACGGGTAGGTTTAAAACTTGATTTATTATCGACTAAGACTTGGCAAAGAAAAACAAAGTTACGTCTACACTTTAACATCAACACGATTATCTGCGTGGATTTATTTTTCTATTTAAGTTTTATAGTGTTCCCGGCATTAGATCTTGTATCGGCCGCTGACGTGTTGCACAAAAGTGGTGTTTGGATGAATAAGACGGTGTAATCTATGCTTTAATGTCACTCGAAACCTTCTGTCTCTAAATGCATAAAGAAGAGGATTTAAAAAGGAGTTGATGCTAAAACAAACAGTTGTTAATGAACCCACCAAAATTTCTCTGGTCGTTAAAGAAACTTTGTTGAAAGTTTGAGTCATCAACCATAATACTCCTATAAACACAGGAACAAGAAAAAACATCAAATTGCTTGTGACCAGGATTGAAATCTTTTTGGCAAGTTTTAGATCTCGCTTTATACCCATTTGATTTCCAGAGTTCCTCACATGGACAAAAATATGGAGATACATGGGAATAGTGATGATGTACAACAAAACTCCAATTGCGACGACACTGGCGCTGTATGCAAATGAATGAGGGATTCCCTTCGCAGGCTGGATCGGAAGGCAGAAGGTAGTCGTAGTGTATGTTCCCACACCGAGGAATGGAAGGGATGCCATAAATACAGCTATTACCCACGAGGCAGCCATGCAATAGAGGCATACCTTTGCTGTGACAGAGATACTTGGTCTCATGGAGAAGATAATTGCTATGTATCGTTCAGTAGTCAACAGCAATGAAGAAAGAGCTGCTGCAAATTGTCCGACAACCCACACAAAACCAATGGCTGGACACAAAGAGCTCATCACGCTTACGAAGGCTTGATAAGTCATAGCGTGACGTGATGACGTGATAGCAAGGGTGTACACTCCTAGGAAAAAGTCACTCAAGGCCAAATTTGCAACTAATAACATACAAGGTAGTTTTCTGAGTGTTTTTGTGGTAGCCATTGTAAAAAACACTATCAAGTTGAATATTATTATTAATGGAGTTAACAGGTATTCAATATATAGAGCTTCATTAGCACTTTCCCAGCATCGATGCATTGGGATGACTGTCACTTCAGAGGTGAAGCATTTTTCATCGAAAGCAATTACAAATCCATACTTAGCAAATAGGCGAGATATTGATTCGACAAGGTAGCGTGAACCTCGACAGCGTAACTTTGGGTAAATGTCATACACCCCTTTCTTGAAAAGCGTCACGTTTGAGTGAGTTTGGTTCTTTATAAGTGTCTTGTTGTTGCAAGCACTGCTCCAAGTAACACCAGAGATGCGCTGAAGGCTTGACGCTTTGAGAACGTGTGAAGGAGGAACAAAGGTATTTTCAGTCACCAATGAAATTGCTTCGAGAGAAGGTAGCTCGCGGGAAATATTCCCATTCCAGGTTTTCAAGTTTTTGAATTTGAGTTCCCTTTGAGAAAAGCAAATTGGTAATTAGTCGCGAGGTTGCATTACAGTTCTCACGGCATCCCATGTAAATATTGATCGTTAATACTTATACCACATCTTTGAGATGTGCTTTTTGCGCATGGGTTAATTCGGAGGTGATTAGCAAGCAAACTTCTTCTTCGAGCAGCTGAAGAGACGAATCACGCGTCAAGGGTTTAATTTGCGATCATTTTTCGGTAAATTGAAAAAAACTACATTGATTCTATGGTTTCTACGTATGTGGTATATACTACAACAATTATTCGACAGTCTTGATGTAAGTGAAAATTGTGGATATTGACCTTGCTGCTTGACAGCTTAGTAAATATCCACTTCAATGAATAATCGCTAAAAACATATTATGTCAGTTAAATAGATATAATGTATGTACCTAATAGGTTCACCATGGTGGTTTTTGCTGTTGTTGTCGTTTTTCGAACAAAATCAAAATTATATCCAGAGGTATATACCAAGGCCATCTTTTTTAGCGAAAAAAGCTTACTTAGAGGTAAATAACTTCTCGAAACAACTTCGAGCTAAGTTTTTAACTTGGTAATATATATATGTGACAGGTTTCAATATCAATGGTAACGAAACTGTTGAACCCAATCGAGCTTCACAATGGGCAATCTTTCACCACATTAAAGTTCACAAGGCAACCAGGCGGACAATCAGACATGGTTTGATGCTACTTTGGTGAAAGATTTAATAAATGTAATCGAGAAGTTACAATTCATAGACCCAACGTTTCGATACTCATGTCTAGTGCCTTCTTCAGGGGTGATCTAATCGCTGCAAGAAGAGGTCCTTTTATATTCTCACTGATTAGTTGCCCTTTTTTCGGACGAGTTTAAATAGGCATCAGGTAATAAGCCGCCATCATCGCGATGTAAAGGAGCGCGGACAGGTTTTCAAATAAAGGTGCCATTGGTAATGTCGATTAGTAGTGATTTATCTAATATTACCACTAATCGACGCTACCAATTAGTGAGCATGTAAAAGGTCCTCTTCGTTGTTGCAGCAATTAGATCACCCCTAATGAGGGCATTAGACAGGAGTGTCGAAACGTTAGTTCTATGAATTGTAACTTCTCGGTTACATATATTAAATCTTTAAACCAGAGTTGCATCAAACCATGTCTTACACCATATTGTTTGACCATGTTGCTGTGCTCCTCAGATACGTTGATTTAACAAACTTTAAGTGAAAACGAGTATTCTTTGAACATAAAAATTAGCTTGAAGGCAAGGGAGAACAATATGAATAAACCAAAACGTTCTATTTGATCACAAGTTACTAAAATACTTACAGGTATTTTAAATTGATGAACTTGGCAAATGTGCCTTCTGGTATATTGGTAGCGTTATCATCTACGACAGAACTAAAAAAGGAATAACCTTTGGTCTAAGTGATATAGTTTGTTAGGAGACTCGAACAAACCTTACTTCTACTTGAGCTTAATAACTATGTCATCATTAGGCATTTTCCTATTATTATTTTTGGTTCTATATTTCAATGAGTACCACCGTCGTTCTTGGACGACGAATGTTCGTGTACCAGTATCAAGTTTGCTTTTTGATTCCACCAAACAGAGACTAGTTTTAATTGGGCTTCAGGTAACCCAGCACAGAACAATTAAGTTGTGCTTGTTACACAGTGCCCAACCGAATAATTGAGCAGATTTAACTCGATAATGCTGCAGGAGAGTGAAAGTTTTTAGTTTTTTCAGCATTAGCAATGATCACTGACATAAAAGTATCTCGAATCTTTCCTCTTCAATTCAGTGGGGACACCAAGTTCCTCACTGACGTACTTAGGAACATTTTCAAAGACGATTTCAAGCTATAACAAAGAAGAAGGAAACAGAAGAAGAAGAAAGAATGTAAAATAATGAGTCATAGCTATTTACGTACAGAGCGACAATTTCCTCTGCCTTCTTTATGGAATGGTTTAAGTCGTACATTACGTCGTCTGTATAGCAAATGACCGTCACGTTATAACTTGGATCAGATGAACAACGACAGACTGGCGTGACACACATCTCTGTGACAGATGTTGAGAAAGAAGGAGACAAAACGATGGCCACAAACAGAAGTGCGAAGATTTGCTTCATCATGCACCTGTTGGGAGAGAAACAAGTTGACGTCAATAGCCTTTTCAGGAAACATGAAAAGAAATCAGATCTTCGATACCTTAAAGAGACCTCAAAGGAGTCTTCACTGACCCTTTAAACATCTAGATGGCGATAACTTTGTCGAAATGCTTTGTAATGACTAGGAGCATTGACATTTTTCCCTTGATATGACCAGTGCGAATTCCCATTTGGAATAAAAGGTTTTTCCCTTTGGAAACCTAAACTTCCGATACTAGTCTATCCCTTTATATTTCTTATTGGGGCGAGAGACGGTGTGATAAAAGCAAAGGAGCAAGCACATTCTAATTTTTCCCAACATACTTAAAGTTTTGGTAAGATGTCAGTAACAAGTAGGGAGATGCGTTGGCGTAAGGTTTAGGGCACTCCATACTCTAAATGGGAAAGGATTAGTTGGAGCGATGGCGAGGTTGCTGTGTTGTGTTCTTTACAAGGAATTGCACTCTAAAATTGCCCATCCGCAAATAAATATAAACATGCATCAGCAAACACGTAGAGGGAACCTGATAAAATACTTAGAGAGGTGGCGAGGGATATTGTACCAGTGATAGATCATCGTTCTATTCAGAGTAGGAAATATTTTTCGGAAAGCAATTTGGAAACTAACTCTTTTTGCATTCCATGAGGTCTCAAATTGACACCAAAGTTATGGGACACTTTCTTAAGGTCCGATCATAGAAGAGACTATCTATTTGTTTAAAAATATGCTTTACCTGTTTGTATGATTCCCAAACAATTCCAATTCAGTTAAGCAAAATTCGACAACAGTTAGCACACAAGTATAGGAATGTTACGTAAGGGGTAGATTTCCAGGGCGTATCATGACCACACGCCTGTAAAAGAAGCAGACGTGAATGTACTATAAGTTTCAGCCATGATTAACCCCATTGTAAATATTCATAGATATTTGGTTCAAATATCTCAAATATGTAAAAACCATCTTCCCCTATGAGGAGAAGAGAGGGAAACCCAATGCAAGTAAATAAAAATTTGTAGCTATGGTTCATCTGCCGATGTGAGTTTGTCTTTCCGTATTTTTTTTTCTCCGGCTAGTGGTTGTTTGTCTCTTTTTCCCTATTTGTCTGTTTATCCGTCTGGCTTACCCTCTCTTTGCCTGTCTAAAGGAGCTACGTTCCGAAAGAAGCTGTAGTACTTCGTCGGTAGGGGGATATAACATAATAATTCGGTTTTGTCAAAATAGTTGATTTTGAAAAAGTTGCTAAAGCTGAAGTTTCGAGCATTAGCCTGTCGCCATTCGCCCTGACGAAAGGCTAACGTTCGAAACGTCAGCTCTAGTAATTCTTTACGGCGGCCAATTTACATTATCAACTCATTTTCTTGTTTAACAAAGCTCTGGCGTCTCTTCTTGTCATCAGGGACGACCAGGCTTGATGACTAAAACAACACCATGTTAGCTATGGCAAAATTCAAATGTCGTGTTGTGTGATAGTGAAACCGATCTTTATCGCCTTCAAATTTAGGATATTGAAAATACAAGTTAGTAATCACTTGTAACCTATGCATGGAAAGTTAAGCTTTCCAGTTGTCTTTTTCTGATTTACTTTCAGCGAAAACCTGTTTGAATTAACGTTTTGCTAGTGTGAACAGGGTATTAGTTTCCTTGTTTGGGTACTGAGATCATCTGCGTAAGGCCAGTTCATAGAATGATCTTCGGCTAAAAGGAAGGTCTTCGGTGTCAGGGACTTAGGTTTTCGGCACAATGAGTAGAATTAATCAGCAGAGTCAATGGTGATCACACTATAAAGTCTTATTCGCATGGAGAAGTGAGACCATACACCATGACCTCGCGCCAAATACCCTTCGCCCTCTCCCCCCTCCCCCCTCCCCTAGGTCGATAGGTAATTACAATATAGCAGCTGAGTTTTAAAATATATTATCTTTAAACACAAGACAGGATTATATACATAAGTATAGGGTGTGCCGGACATTTAAAAAAACGCTTCTATACCATAACAAGAAACTCACAATTAATCGAAACACGCAGCATATTCCTTTATCTGTGTGTGTTACTTTAAGTTTAACTTTAAAATCTCTACTCGCGACAGAAAACGCAAAAGAGCCGTGCGGCCGACTGCGGGTATTACGGCTTTTTCCAGACCAGCACGCGTTAACTTTTTTGGACACACGTTAGCTTCCATTGTGGCTTTCTATAGGATTGCGATATGCCTTTCGAGGGATATGATTATATTTCCATTACAACCGAACAAGTCAGGCCCCCAATCAACGAAAATCCAAGAAAAAAACTTCCGTCTGACTAGAAACCCAAAGCACTGATGGAATCTCTATCAAACTGTTGAGCCGATTTATATGCAATCACAACTCTTGTCTTTGGTTTAAGAATTGGAGAAAAACAATGTGCAATATTCTCACCTTAAAGTATGGAGTCCATTTGAACTGTGGCCGTCAGATGCGAGAGACTAGCGAAATTACAGATCCTACCAATAATTAAAATTTAGAATAACAAGTCGCAAGCATTACGAGTTGTAATATATGTAAATAAAAATGACAACCATATCAAAAAGTCCTGTTAGTAATTACGGCAGGTGCATGAACCTTGATATTATCTAAAAAAAAACTCGACATCAGAGGGGGTCCAAACGGATTATATTTCCAAATTGCCTAAGATCAAGGGATGTCTTTCGATCGTGTTATGAATAATATTGCGAACAGTTTCTGAATATGATAAACTAACGAAACTTTATTTCAATTCATTAAAAATTGTAAAGAACGCAAAACGTTCTGGTGTTTAAAGCTAAAATGACATTTTCAGTAACACGATAGAAATTTGATTTACATTTTGGAAACAAGTTGAAACTTCTCTACCATAATATTCAAAACTGATATATGCAGTAGACCTTGAAAAGGGAGAATATGATAAATAATCTTTCCTATCTCGAAAATTGATGATCAGGCTTTGGGTATTTTAGCTAACAAGCTCAGCAAGGTAAGGTAAACATGTTATTATTTTCTGCAACAAGTGCAATGCCGCACGATCCTAAATCGTATCGAAAACCCCAATGTTGCTTTTTATTCAAATTTGGGTGCTGTTCTCGAAATCAATCTAACACGCATATTTTATGAAGGAAAACAATATATTATTTACACTCTCTCTTCAAATTGATCTTTTAATTTTTAATTTTTAATTTTTTGAAATAAGAAATGTATATTTAAAGAATATATTTGAAATTAGCAACGGGCGACATTGATGACTAACAATTTGCAATTTCATAGGAAAACAAGTCGACACTAAATCTTTTATTTGGCTGCCAAAAACACATCACTAAACGACTTCGAAAAAAAAGGAAAAGAGATGACATCCTAATAATACATGGGCAAAATATTCCATTGCAAGAAAGGAGAAGGCTGGATAAAGTAAAGCAAAACTCGAAATATCAGGAAATCTGGATGGCATAAATTTCAAATCGGAAGCGATTGAGGCCGATAAAGGGGTGACAGATGAGATCAAAAGCTTTTTGCCTACCATTTACCGCTTTGTAAAAATAATTTCTTCTCCCTCAATTCTAAAATGCTAATTTTTCAATTTTGAAACTTAAACCGTAACTCCATATTTACTCTCGTATAACTAGTACTCCCAGAGGTCGTGAGGTTTAATTTGCAAATTTTATTTGTGAGCCTGGCATAAGTACGTTTTAAATTTTGTCGTTATATTGGTAATAACAAAAAATAACGATAACAATAATGATAATATTGATAACATACAGTGAATCCAAGACCGGAGACTTCAAACTATTGTACATAAATGAATTTAAAATAAATGCAAAACTAAACAACTTCGGAAAAAAAAGAAAAAAATTACATACTCGGCAGGCATTATTGTTGCTAAGGTATTACTTATTTCTCAACAGATATGATTCGCTCCCTCATTTTCAATGACCCTGATGAGTTATTTTTCATATATTTTTTCGTTAAATATTTGAGAAGTGTAAGATAAACCTTGACGATAATTCTAATACTGAGTATCAGAGCTCATCTCAGTACGCTCCTTGTAGGTGGTGCCGCTTAAGGATATTTGGGCTTTGAACTTTCACATTTGAATAGCTAGATGTCCTATGGCGATCAAACAATGGACACAATAAAGTAAACAGTACGTTTCCATAAGCGCTCGCAAAGACGCAACTGTTAAAATGAAATAACAATTCGTGGGTTATTTTTACAGCTTGCGCATTTACACAAACCTTTTGACACAGCTTTATGTTCATCAAAGGCAATTCCTACTATTATCATTCACAATTTTTTCGCACCTTCTACTTACAGCATTTTCCTACATTTCTAAAGGGATGAATCTAAAATCGGGGTCTATTTATTTGTTTCACTTGACACAAAGACGTGGCGTGGGAAAAAATGTCTGTGTTCATGGCCAGTTTTTATTTTAGGATGCAAGCACGGTTCGAGAAGAGCGACAAAACATCATTGAACGTTTAAGTAAAAGTTTTAAATCAAAAACCTTTTCTTTACCTATTCATATATATCATTCCTAGGGTTTCGTGCATATAGACACCTACTCTTCATGAACAAAAAAATAATGGAATAAAAATTAACTATAGTCGTCTTTGTTTGGTGAGAGCATTCTCATATTTACTGTTGAAAACACCCTCCAAACCTAATATAAAATATAGAAATGTTGCCATGAAGCTTAAGAAATGTGAGTGTAGCAATGGAATTCTCTTGCCACTAAATTACATTTTGATATCCAATGGAGTAATCTCGCTGAGAAGCAGAGCAACATTATGCTAATATGTATAATGAAAAAGCTGTGGTCTCTAGCAAGGCAATTCAGCAAAAATAAACTTGAAAATGCCCAAAGCTGCCTAAAATTTCCCACCTTTTTAGGACAAAATTAACCAGGAAAAAATATTAGCATACACTGTATCTCCATTTTTTACATAAGACACCGGTTGCAACTACATATCGTGGTGTTATCTTCCTGAGTAACAAGAACGTGTAACATCGAGTATACATAATAAGAAATTTGATTCAGATTTCTCGTCGAGTACTTTTGGTCGTTGTTGAGCTGCTTCTTGAAATATCTCACCAAAAATTCAGTCTCTGTTTTAGACCTCTTATGTCCACTCTCTGAGCCGTAATAGCCGCAAATGCGATAGTTAACTCCTATTACGGAAAGATAACATCGGAAAGATCACTTGTAAGTCACGGAGGCCATCAGGGAGGATGTAAACACAATCATGTGTGACGTCAAGCGGTAATCTTTTCGAATGTTATACCATTAATAAATTGATAAGTTTTCATGGCTGTGTAAATTTGTCATTGTCTAATATTCTCGGAAGGAAACGAATAATTCAAATAAAACACATTTCTATAGAAATTAAGCTAATCGAAAACATCACGTATTTTGCTATTCAGTGAAAATATTCGTTTGAAATGAAAAAAAAGATGTTTGGGGCTTTCCGGTGCAATAAAATTTCTTTGAATCATAGGATCAAAATTTTTCAATTTTTAATATAAACAAAACTTTATTCCTAATGATTTCAGAGGAGTCAGTCTGTATGTCTTTCTAATTCTGCTAATTTGAAATAAAGTTAATGACGAAATTTTGTTTTCTCCGCAGGATAACACTTAAAACACCAAATTTCGCTGACATCTGAAGACATTCGTAAAAGTATATCTGCATAATCAGATCTAGATTGACATCAAAATGATCACAAACGGAATTATTTACTTCTTAAACATACATCAATTTATTTAAGCGGACACTTAAACCTATATTTATCATATGAAAGTTTTCTGTGTTCAAATAGAGAATAGAGGACTATTTTTTTTTAAAAAATCTGATAACTCCGAAAATCACTTTACTACATTTTTTCCTTAAAGCGACGCAAAAAGACAACTGAACAGGAGGGCAGAATGATAAATCATTTATGATAATTTGCCTCTTAGCTTGAAAAAGTGTAAAACTTTTCCCTTACTTCAATTTAACCAGCCTGGCGTACGTATGTTCCGCACCAGACACGTGGAGCTCTCACATAGAATAAATATTTAATCTTAATACAAAATTATTTCACCGGCTGGGAGTGACGTTTATTCATTGCAGCCGAAGGAGGTCTTAATAAGGTTGTGCAAAGATGTGAAAATGTCACAAAATTTTACAAAGAACTCAAAACGTTACAAAATTTTGGTCAAATAAAAGAATAAACGATTTTTTCGGCCTCTGAAGGTGGGAAGTAACCTTAAAACCGGAAGAAAAGGACACAAGCCTTAGATGCAAAGCGAAAGCAACAAAAACTTGAACTCGAGGTGGAGCGCAACAAGCATTTTGAAGAACATGTTCCCCTTTTTGTATTCAGAATACAACATCAACAATGAATTAATTTGACAGTGGCCAACATTTTCCTTCCTGTAACAGTATTTCTTAGTAGTTTTCGTGTTGCCCTTCGAGAGGATCTCCGCGTCATCCGCACGTCCAAACGCTTGAATCTGTTGTTTGTCTTGTTAGGGTCAGTTGACGGGGTTCAGGAACACTGAAATCTAAGACGACGCCCTCAAAACATCCTGTACATAATGTTCAATCTTTATGGACAAAGACGGCCAAAGCGTGATCAGACTTCTCTATCTGTTGTTGCAGGGTAATGCTTGGCTAATAATTAGAAAATAAACATAAGAAATCTAAATCGAAAAAAAAAATTAATCTTAGCTAAGACGGTTGTGGTAAGACGAAATATTTATTGTTGGAACGACTGCCGCATGGTAGCAATATGAAAACAAATTTAAGAGAGGATGAAGCACAGAGACAGAATAAATGCAATATCCGCCGCATTTATTGCACTTATCATGGAAACTTTTGTATATTGATTGAATGCTCTCGACCGGTTAGATTTCTCAATGAAAATAAAAAAAAATTCCAGGTTATACATTTATTGTTAACTGCCATGCCATGTTCAGTAAAATTGGTTGACTCGACTGTTTTTGTGCTTGAGCTGAGTTGGAGAGTGCGGAAATCTTTGTTTCCGAGATGATCGAGAGTATTAGAAAATACGGAACACCTAATATCCATACCCAAGGATTATACCGTAATCTAAAATGTAGCAAAAAAACAGTGACACCAGAGGAAAGCCAAACGGCAGTTAATTTCATATACGTGCGCGCCAATGTTATAATTTGTTTCATATCTAAGTCCGAGCAACAGGGCTAGAAATCTGTCCACGCTAGCTTATGGCCTTTATTGTCATCAAAGACACTGAACTGAATGCAAGGCTTTTGATGAATTCAGTGTTTGTAAACGAGGGACATTCGATAATAAGCACTGAGAGGTGGAGTAGCAAGACGGATTGGAGAACCAACAAAGGATCAGTAGTCGCCAGCAATCTAAAACGAAAAAGTCTCTGCCAGAGATATTGATGGATTTGGAAGAAATTGATTTCGTGACAATCCCCGAGTACTTAAAACTATACAATAATAGCGTTTGATCGCTGTTGTCAACATATTTTAAAATACTGCTATTCAAGTTTGTTATTGGCAAAAAAACCGGAAACAGGGGCAGGAGCAAGATTAAACACTACCAAACTCGTTTCGGCTTATGTTACGTTATCTTTCCCCTTCATTCGACTTCTCCTTCTTAACTTCAAATAACTTCAAAAGCTCTCCTTTGAAGAAAAATTTCTTCCCATATTTTCATATCTCTAAGAAAGAGCAATAAAAAAGAAGTACTATTATCCTGTTCGTTTCCACATGATCGTGTATATGTCCTAAGTTATTGTGTTCGCCAGAACTGGCTTGTAATGAAACAAAGTTTTTTCAAGACATCTTTAACGTTTTTACTCCTTGTCTCTTTATTTGTTCACGAGGAAATAACGAATACTAATGACAGCACCTCCACGATTTTATTAAGTTCCCTGGTCATTACTTTCCAATGAAGCAACATAAATCGATGAGTCCGCTACAATATAACAAATAAGATGATGAATCGAAGAAGATCTAACCTCATGAAGAGCAAAGTGATTGTCTTATTGTCTGCTTTACCGCTTTTCTCACCTCGCTTATCTTCCAGCAGTAAAGAAATGGATTCAAGGTGGAGTTAAAATAAAGTAAGGCTACTACTGTCCCTCTGATTACAACTATATGTGATGATAATGTTTTTCTACGAGCTGTCACACTTTCAGCTATGATATATGGTGCATAACAAACAACTAGAGCTAACTGCACGGACAGTGCACTGTGCACTGCTTTTCTGTATCGCAAAATGTTCAATGAATTTGGTTGTCTCGACTGTTGTTGTACTCGTGCCTTGTTATAACGGAGAGTGTGGAAAATCTTTGTGTACGCGGCGATTGAGATGACTAAACATAACGGTACAATTATATATAAAAACCAAAAGACTATACGTTTATTTAAAATGTAGCATAGAGCAGCAACACCAGACGAAACCCAAACGGCAGCTACTATTATATAAGTACGCTTCAAAGTTACAATTCGTTTGTATCTCAGCCCCAATAACAGGGCAAGAAGTCTGTCAACGCTTATGGTCGTCATTGTCAACAAAGATACTCCACACAGTGCATAGCTTGATAAGTAGCCGGCGCTTCTTGCGTATCGACAGAGATTCCATTGTTTGTAAATTGAAGAAATCCGATAAGTAACACTGAGAGGATGGGTAACAAGGCCAACCAATAGATCGGTAGTCGCCAGATTACGGTACAAAAGTTTCGACGGCGGATGAAGCGAAGATTCTTTGCCAAGAGCAACTAGGATTAAAAAATTTCCAAGAATTGCAGTAAGGGAGAGAAATATATTTAGCACTGCGAGATGAATTGATGGTTGTTGTGATCCACTTGTTAAAGTAGAGGAGCAAACTAGTTCTTCGAGTGTTTTCATCTGTATTCCATCTCCTGTTAAATTGTTTGCAGCTATCATTCTTATCTCGTGTCCTATTTCTCTTTTTTAAGGTTACCTGAGATTGCGACGAAAGATATGTCGTCTTGGCAATACCCGCAAAGATACGATCATTTATACCTTACTTTATTAGAAACGATATCATGAAGATGTCCTTGCCATCACTAAATACCCAATGCAAGAAATAAAACCGACCATTAAGTTCCTTTTCTTTTCTTTTTTCACTTCAGGGTGCGCCTCAGGCGTAAATTAGCAAAATGACGAAAGCATAAGTAATCTTTAATATCACTATCTCATAGCTCGACAAATACTCGCTTTTCACCTATATAATAATTTATAACTAGGATAGGTAATAAGTATCATTGGTGTGAGGTTGAGAAGAATCAGAATCAGAAGCTTAATAGAAAAAGTCCGCATCAGAGATATTAATGGGTTTTGAGGAAAATTGAATTCGTGACAATCTCCGAGTGATTAAAACTATACAATATTGACGTTTAGTCACAGATGCAAACATTTCCTCAAGTAATGGATTTCAACTTTAAATTAACAAAGCTTCCTGCTCTTTACTTTCCGCTTCGCTCCTGACTGAACCTAGAAACGGAAACAGCAACATGAGCAAGATATATTGCAATACCAAACCCTGTCCGTTTTAGTTGAGTTGTTTATTCCTTTTATACGCCCTCTCTTCTTATTCCAAGACATTAATAATAATTATCCCCCATGATCAGAAGCAAAAGCAATTTTACCTTCCACAGAAAAATAATTTTAAAAGCTCTCCTTCACTACTCTTTGAAGTTCAATTTCATCCCACGCCTTCATACTGACTGAGAACGCAAAATAAGGAAGTAACATCGAAGTAACTTCCTGTTTGTTTCTACACTATACGTTCATACATCACTACTTGTTCTATTCGCAATAAATGCCATCGCAGTAAACAAAGTTTTCTAAAGATGATTTTACTAAATAACTCAGTCCTTTTATTTCTTCAAGTTGAAATTTTATCAAGTTTCCTTTCCAATAAAGTAACCGACAAGCGATTTCTTGTGGCAACCGTAACTTTAAAGGTCGGCTTTGATATATTGAATAGAATGATGACTCGCGGCAGATCTAACTCCATGGACAGCAAAGTGCTTGTCTGATTGTCTGCTTTACTGCTTGTCTCACTTCACAAACCTTTCAACAGTAAATAAATGGGTTTAACGTCGATTTAAAGCTATTCCTCCGATGACTACTAAATGTGATGAAATTTTTACTCTTTTAGCTATCCGAATTTCAGGAATGTTACTCGGTGCATAACAAGCACTTTAAACTAGCTGCACCAACAGTGCACTATGCGCCGCTTCTCTGTATCGGGAAATGTTAAGGGTATCTTTTGCTTCTTATCATATATATATAGAAAATTACTTATTTAATATCTTGACTTAAAACAACAGGGCGCATGAAGGGAATAAAAAGAAAAGCAGAAAAGTTTTTAATAGCGTACTATCTTGCTCTTGAAACTGTCTCGTTTCTCTCTCCGGTCAGGCACGAAACGGAAAGTGAAAGGCTGACAGACTTTTTAAATTACAAATTCAAATTGTTTACGATATATTGGCATCTGCGACTAAATGCCAATATTGCATCAAATTTGTCACAAACTCAACTTTTCCATGTTGGACTTTTTATTTTAAGCTTGCTAACTTCGATAATGATTCCTCTAAACTTCAGAAAAGAAAGCTTAATTACCTATCACAGCGGTAAAAGTTTATCCACGTATTAAAAGAGGGAGTATTAATCAAGAGATGTGAAATGATGATATCATAATGTCTTATGCTTGCCTCATTTTGCCAATTCACGCCTACGGCGCACGAAAAAGTTCAAGAGAAGAAGTGAGTTTTTTTTTCCTCAAAGTCAGTGTTCTCGCGCAGCCTATTGAATAATCTCCCCAGGAAGTCTTTATAAGATCGTTTTTAAAACATTACGGTTTCAGTGGTTGTAGCTGGGTGGGTGCTGTTAAGACGAATATTTCTTGATGCAACACGAGTAATGTTACAAAAAAATAATATTAAAATAAAAAAGACACATAAGAATGATTAAGACAACTTAACAGTAGGTGAAATACATATGAAAACATACCAGGAACTTGTATGTTCCCCTTCTTTTGCAGGCGGATAACAACAGCAATCCATTAATCTCGTAGTGTTAAACATGATCCTCTCCCTCACTGTATTTCTTGAGAATTCTCTAATCCTCGTGGCCCTTCGGAAAGAATGTCCCCTCCATCCGCCGTCCAAACTCTCGTGCCGTTATCTGGCTTCATCTTATCTGTTGGTTGGTCTCATTACCCAGCCTCTCTCTATGCTACTCATCGGATGTTGACTATGACGGCCATAGGTGTTAACAGACTTCCCGCGCTGTTCTTAGGGCTGAGATACAAACAAGTTGTAACTACGGATTCTACAAGTATTATTTTAGCTGCCGTTTGGGCTTTACCGGGTGTCTCTGCCTTATGCTATATTTCAGATTACCGTATAACCTTATGGCGTGGATATTTCTGTGTTATATCTTCTTTAGTGAACTCAATCGTCTCATACACAAAAATTTTTCGCACCCTCATTCAGCATTAACAACTCATCATATATGCATGCCAGTATGGTGTAGAAACAAATTGGACGTTGTTCGATATCATTTCATTCGTTTACTTTCTACGTAATATGAAAGTGTCCGGTAGAAAAAAAGTTGCAAATCCAAGAGTAGTGAAGGTAAGCTTTTGATTTTTTTTATTTTCTTCATGAACGAAAAAAAGTGTGTCCATTTCTATTGATCATGCTTAGATGAAGCGCTTGACGTTCAAGCCTTTTTGAAAGGCAGTCACAATGTCAATTATACACTTAAATTTGTTTAAATATTCGGAAAATGCCGATATTGCGCATGAAGGTGTGACCAAGATTTTCTTAATTGTAAGTGAACTGTTGAAGAGTACATGAAACAAAATTGAACATCACTGTCTCTCTTTGGGGTCTCTTGGAGAACAATCGTCTTTCCAAAAAGCTCCAAAACTAAAAGTAACGCATAACCATATTATTTATCAGACTTAACAACAGAGTTATACGCCTTTTTGTTAAATCAAAGTACTAACAGATGTCTGATGTTTGACTCTTGATGGAAGGTCATTTCTTAATGAAACCTCGCCAATTAAACAAACACGTAGTGGTATGAGACTCTAATGTTTATGAACAGACTACAGCCTGTATTCTGCGACATTTAAGTACAGATAGCAAGATTGAAATGACACAGAATTGATAGCTGCCAAAACGAAATTGTCCATTCATCCAATGTTACAACTGTGATGCACAAACTAGAACTCCTTGTTAAAAAAAAAAAAAAAAAAAAAAAATATTTTATTTGTGCAAGGAACTTCCAAGCGCGCATTTTCAACGAGCAAGCGAAAGTCTAAAAAAATACATCTTCATAAAGTTGGAGTCCAAAACGTTCTACCAGAGTTTTGTTAGTTCTTAACTATCTATCGGCTTGTTTCCGATCGCAAATAATAAACATTCTGCTTATACTTCAGTTACTTTATTGGAATATAAGCGTCCTTATCAAACAGGATCTTTAATCGCACAAGTGTACGGTAACAAATGGAATTCAATAATCTAACAATTCACATGACAGCTGCCTTGATATGTCAGTAATAAGCAGAAAATGATATCCGAGAGCCCAATACGCGAACATTTTCTTCTGCTAATAGGGGACGATATTAATTAGGTAGGCAGAGGGCAAATAAGAGAAATAAAAAGCTCAAGTAGAATAAAGGTTTGGTAACGCACTGTCTTGCTCCAGGCCGACTGTCTCATTTCTAGTTCCAGTCGAGCGCGAAACGAAACTTTGTTAATTGCAAAGTTGAACTCAAATATTTGAAAACTGTTCACGCACCGCACGTTCACCGCACGTACACCGCAATGGTGCTGGACATTTACCGTGCCACTAAACCAAAAAGAATAATTTATTTCTACAATATACCAGAAAATGGTCGCAAATTAAACTGTTGACGCATTATCTCGTTTCTTCGGCTGCTTCAAGGTGAATAGTACTTGCTAATCGCTTTTAGCCATTATTAAGCGCACGCGAAAAGCACTATTTACTTAAGTGGCTATAGGAATTTTAATATATGTTGCAACTGTATGTATGAAGAGGGTAAGTTTCTAAAGAAACTGCGGTGCTGCGTCGGTGGGAGAGTATAACAGGGTAATTAAGTACTATTCATTGAGTTGATAGCGTAAATTGACCACCGTAAAAAGTAAAAAAAAAGACCAGAAAATTGCCAATGTTTTTGTCACGTTTGGATGAAATTAGTGGAGGTTTTGTAAAGATTGTATCAGTTTCGCAACCTCCGCTAATTTCATTCAAACATAACAAAAAAATTTAATTTAGTAACTTTCTGGTCAGAATTTCATTTTAAACCAATGTAGCAACTTTCTGGTCAGAAGATCATTTTAAACCAATGACCAACCAGGAACTTTCAAATGGGCTCACTCACGATGCAAAACCTGTCCTTTCATTCATAAAGTAGAAAAAATGACGGGACCCAAAAGATCTATTAAGCTCACTGATCTATTAAGCTCACTCACTTACGTGCACCTCCGCCAATGTCATTTGCTGCATAACTTGCAATTACTGCTAAAAGTTATACATTGGTGAAACAGGAAGACGACTAGGTGACCGATTCCGAGAACACTTTCGCGACGTAGAAAGAAATGACAAGGACGCATCCAAACCAGTCGCTAGACACCTTAAACTCCCTAATCACTCTAAGCAGCATATAGCAGTTTGCAACCTTTTCCTACATCTGGGCAGTTCGGAAAGCCGCAAAACTATAGAACAAAATTTTATCCTTCAACTCAGCACTCTTAATCCCCACGGTATCAACGAGCGCTTTTCATTCGACCAATTTATTCTTGTTTTTTCCTTATCATATTCCCGCCAATAGCGTAGCTCCATTTTCTGCGCGTAAACCCACACACAACCCACAATTCCTCCAA